GTTCGCTTGTAATACAACAAACATTTCGTATTCACGATATATTTCAGTACTCGGGACATATTTACACGCACTCCTCGAAGGCCATAACACCACCTTCGAACAATGAGCCAAGTCTTCGGATCGGGATTCTCGTCACGTGGTGGCGCACTGATGATCAGGCGTGGCCGGGATTACAGATGTCGGCGGCGGTAGTCTCGGAGGCGGCGGAATAATGATGAAGATTAGGATTGGATTTCGTGCAAGTTCGATTAAGAAATTTCAAGTCTCCCTCGTAGCTCGAATGAGACGAGAATATTTAAAACGGTGAGACGAAAAAATAATTATTAAATGAGCTGCGATATAAAATCAATTTAATTCAGTCGTGTGTAATTTTCGATTTTTTTTCGATTAAACGTAATCACTATAATTTTAGATGGAAAATACCGGACGGCATGGTCAAGGACGGAGGATTTGAATATTTTTTCCACATTCGGAATTTAAATTCATTTCAAACCTGCACACACAACAGTAAATTATTTACTTTCTACCCTCATTTTTCTATCGATTTTGGCCTGTTTTAAGCTCTTTTGTTCATCACAATTGAAGCACTGCTCTTGCGACTGAAAGCGGCGCCAAATTGAATAGCAGCACTTTAATCACTCGTCAATTGAAATACAAGTCCTCTAAATACTCGAGAGAAATGTTGGTTTCGATCTCGAAAAGTTTAAATCTTTGGTGTGGGTGTGCCAGTGAATAAATTAACAAAAGATGAATCACACGATGATGTTGCGATTTTTCGGTAAACTCGGATTTAAATCGGGATTAGATGATGTGCACTTTGAGTTTGATTTATGGTTGATTGGAATTAAATGGGGTGAAATACGATTACAGATGAGGGAAATAGAACAAACATTTTACAAATGTTTGCGATTCATATCGACGTATGAATAAATTAAACGTAATAACATGACAGGTAGGGTTTTCATGTTTTTAATTAGTTCGACATTCCGTTCAAGTGTATTTGTTACAATTAGATCAGTTTTATCTTTTTCCTCCGTACAAACGCATAAAGAATCGGTTTTGACCACGGGATATCGCCGATATTTATTATTTTAATGGAAAGGAATTAAAGTCGTGGTTTTTACGCCAGTCTCTCATTAAAACCTGCCAAGAAATTTATCAGAAGCATTTATTTATTTTCAGTGATTAGCATGAGATTTGGCGTTGAGAGCTCCGCTTTTTTTGTATGTCGTGTGTCCTCGAAAGCGTCATGTGAGGGATCCTCTGGAGAAAATTACAGGTTAGACGTCCCATTTAAAAAATTTACATAATCGGCTCGTAAAAACTAAATAACCTGTAAATGGTTATTTTAGTGCTTATTCATACCGGGCTGAATATTTTGACACGTATTTAATAAATAACTCTCCCGAAGACGGCAGCATGTAATTTTATAACACCACAATAAGAGAGAGAAAAAGTCGCGAGTCATACTCGAGTCAACTAATTGATTAAATCCGCTTTAATTGCGGCTTACGTCCGATGTGAGAAAAATTATCGGAGAAATTGCTGGCTTCCGCGATACAGGGACCATGATTATGCATGAGTCGAGTGGCGGTTGGCTTTTTCTATAAAGCTTGGGAAAAAAGCTCACTAGTTTATCGTCAGAAATTATCTCAGATTGTCAATTCTCACAACAGAAGTGAATGTCATGTTAACAGTTTGCCGGGACAGAAGTCGCTATCTTTAGGTCTGGGCACCGATGCAGAAAACAATTTTCTAAATAAAACCGGCGAGATTTTGTTGTTCATCTTGATTCGGGAGGTAGCGAGCGTGAAATACTTGCGTGCGGTTACGAATTTTGAAACAATTTTGATGTAATGAATACCTGCCAGATGGACAGCGAAATTGCTAAATTTGAACAATCTTGAGAGAGAACTGAATGAAAAAGTCTTCCGAGACGAGAATAGAGATGTCAAGGAATAAAATTTTTTGTTTAAATTTAGACATTATTTTTTTGTTAAACAGATAGTATGGAGGTAAAGAAAGTTTTTGTTTTTTTGAGTCTTTAAGCTTCTGAGCTTTTATTCGAGGGAATGGAGTGTTTTGTGTAAGTTAAGAGTGGCAATTCTCGAAAGTGAAGGTTTCCATTTAGTTGAGTTATAAAGTCGATTTGTTGTAACGCGATATTTTGTGTAGAATGAATGTAGAATTTAAACGGTCGATATAAAAGTCCAGCGGCTGTGGAATACAAATTGAGACGAAGCACCGCGCGCAAGAATGCGGTGCGCTATTCGAAACTGCAATGGCCCGAGCAGATTGAATCTATTTACGTTAAACACCTGGGGACGCTTTATTTTCTTTTTAAGGCAAAGTATAAAGATAGAATTTCCACCAATAACTCAACCTCAGGTTTAAATTTGAACATCCTGTGTTATCGACCGGGTGGTCCTAGGAATGGCGACTTCCGAAGACGGCGTCCGTCGGTGCCGTTTCCATTCCTTTTACGATTATCTAGTCGCAATTAGAGTCATTAATTAGAGGAGAATTCAGCAGAGAAACGAATCGTGTTATAGATTTATACTGGCGATTTATGTTAAACTGGGAAGAAAAATCCGAGAAGTAGCGGTTTCATGGCTATGCTAATTGCGAATGTTCATTGTGTTCGATTCGTATCTTGGAAATTGCTCAAGGGTTTGAAGGGGACGTACAGATAATGCTGACAGGAAGATAAATGCGATCACGGCCGATTTCTCTAAAGACGTATATGGAATGCGTCTCGTTTTGACCAAATTGAAAATATTTCATCTCGTTTTGACACCAATTAACTACGGAAAGAATCGAAACTAACACTTGACGGGTCCAAAACGTCTATTGTGACCAACGGTGTGGGTGAAGAATGCGGGGCGAATTATAGCGAGGCATAAACAGGTCGTTTACCTTAATTCCGCTAAGGGCAATCGGTTGATACACGACCCTAACAACAATAGATATACAGAGTGTCTAGGTGGGGAAGCGCCTATTAATCTCAACAGCGATGGCCCCATTTATTTTTTGATTAAATAATAATTTTTGTCTCAACACATTTTTCAAAGCTAATAAACAAATATAATGAAATTCAATTTATGCTGTAATTTTGAACACTTGATTTTTGAAAATAAAGCAGTATTGTTTTATCCAAAAACGTCAAAAACCATGTTAATGTTAAATAAATAAATAACTAAATAATTTAATTAAATGTAGAGACTCGAAAAAATTTCATAAAAATAAAAATTAATAAAAAGGTTTTCGGTTTTGTAATAAAAGAGACTATAAATATTAAAAATACTTATTTTTCTTCTAGGTACCCAAAGTAGAGTTTTTAGAGACAAATTGTTGATGTTTAGCAGATGAGACCGCAAATTATTTTTGTGTGTGTGTACGAGTTACAAACAACATTTTTTTTTATTAAAGCTCCCAAAAATACATTCAAATCATTATGTATGATTATTGTAATTAGAGAAAATATTTCTTGAAAATAGTAAATTTCGGATTTTAATCACCATGCTAGTATATAGTATGAACAAAAACACGATTAGCCCGTCACACCAAACTTTTATTTAAATGACGGGCTAATCGTGTTTTTGTTCATCGTTTCCAAGATGATCCAAGAAGAAGAAAAAGCATATAGTATAGTAAAATCGTTTTCCTAAAACCTACTAAAAATTTTATGACACATTATAAGGAAGGGATTAACCAAACAATGGCTTGAATTTGTAATCCTCTACAAATGGCACGTTTCTTTGCAAGTGTTGCTACACCCACTAGAATAAAACAGGGCCGTATTTAAAACTAAAGTAGCTATTATTTAAAAAAATCAGCTTTATTTAATAATAGCTTGTTAATAACCACCTGGCTTTTTTAAATTTCTTAAAATACTTGACTTTAATAACAACTACATCAAAAACTATTAAAACATTTCAAGTATTTCAGACAAAAAGAAAGTAAGTAGTCCGGCCCTGTTAAAAATTGACCTGTTTCAGGGTCCGAGTGGGTTCCACTAATTTATTATTTGTTTACTCTTATTTACTCTGGTTTACTCTTAACAATACCGCATTTAACTTAAAAGTAATAAAATTTTTAGTAGGTCTTATGAAAACGATTTTACTATAAAGAGATTGTTTTTTGGTCCGTAAAGACTGCATTTTAGGTACTAGTACTCAAAATGATTATTTTGCGAACTATTTTATTGAGTCCAAAAAAGACTTATTTTGGGGACTCAGATGAGTCCATCAAACAGCTATTTTTTTGGGAGAGTGTATAAAAAATGTTTTTTTAAACACGTTTCTGTAATAGAACAGAACAGTTCAGGTTCAGAAGAAAATGGAACATTAAGCTTCTAACTCAATAAAATTGTTGTAAAATTGATATTTTTTTCGGTTTTTTTTATTAGTACTTAACAAAAGAAGTTTCCAAAAAAGCAACTTATGAATTTTGGAGAGTTTATTTTCATTCTAAAATTTTCAATTTTAAATTACAAACTTTGATGAAGATGGGGCTTTTTGAGCCACTAAACTTTGTCTCATAACTTGTACGATGCTCAGCTTCTCATCAGCATCTGTCGTAATCTTAATCATGACCCTCTCATCTACTCATTAAGGTCGGGTCTTGAGATCACCAGCGTCATTGTTGTCTAAAAGACGCAGCAGGAGGTGTACGAGGGTGCACGAAAATTAATTAGATGTAAACGTGGGCCGTATTTAAACAACACTCTAATAAATAGAAAACTTTATTCTGGAACTGGCACATGATTAAATTTTCACTCGCTGTTATGAATTTTAATTCGTTAAATTAATATGCGGTGAGAAACGTCATTTTTAAACACCCTGTCTCGCAATATCGCAAGCGACAATAATACTGAAGGAGCTTTACGACCACAAAGCACTGTTATATTGTGCTCCTAATGCCGTTTGAAATGTGTCAATAAACAAAAATTGCCTGTTTAATAAAAGGTACGACTGGGGAAAGCATGAATGAAACTCGGTTTAATGCTTTTGGTTCAAGTTTATTTTTATACAACTGAAATAAGTGTAATTTGATGTGAGCTCTCCTCGAATATTGCTTTTCATCATCTGGAAATTTGAAATCAAATTAATTGAAGTTGGGTTGTGATAACTCACTTGAATCCGTTCCTGTTGTGACAAATGAGGGTAGGCCAGGACGACACTGAGTTTAGTGAAAGCTGCTTCAGGTGTCATGTCGTAGCCTGAAATGACTCCAATATCTTCTAATATCTGGAAATAAACTCCGGTTAAATTTAAACTCAGAGTAAATGAAGTTTAAGCACCTTTCCTGTTTCGTAAATACCAGAAACCGCTCCTTCGAGACATTGTGTTGTGTTTATTATCAATAATCCTCTCTCAATTGCGTTTTTCAAAACTTGGATTAGTTCAGGTTGATTTGAAGGAATATTTCCTGAACCGTAACTCCGAATGACGATACCGTCAAACGGCTGCAGAAATAATTTTAACTGAAAGAAATTATTATAAAAGCTAAACTTGACATATTTACCGACCATAGAAGGAGTCATTGTAGGGAAGAAAGTTAATATTCCCACATTGGTATTTAGATTGGTATTTACTTTAAATGGGCCTGCATCCGGTTTTCTGATATAATTATTATTTACTAGAGAAAAAAATAATTAAATCAAAGATAATACAATTATTAGAGACAATTTACACGTTATTAAGGTTTGAATTTTTGCCAGGATGTCGTAATTTGGAGAATCGAAAGCGGCGAATTTTTTGACACTTATTTTGGTCGTTCGGTTACCTCGGAATAGTTTATTAGCAAAAAAAACACACACTTCTGGGATTTTGTAACATCCACTAAGAATTAAAGATCCTAAAATGTTGTCCATAGCGTCGCTACGAGTTTCATAAATTGATATCTACAAAAATGAATGAACTTTTGCACTGACTGATTCTTGTGAATACTTGAGCCCCTGTTACTATAATCGGTTTTTGAAGACCTTCGATCATAAATGATAAAACGCTAGAAGTATATGCTAGAGTATCCGTGCCATGTAGGATAACAAAACCATCAAAATTTCCATAATTTTCTTCTATATCCTTTGCTATTTTGATCCAATCGTTAGGCGTCATACTGCTAGAATCTAACAGAGGATCATATTCGCGCAACTTGTAGACAATAAAACATTTACTTTCACTAAAAAATGATTTGTGCATTTGTTTATTTAATTTTAGATTGTTACGGTAAAACTAGATCATTTTCGTCTCGATTCGGAAAATATGCGTTTGCTAATTCAGGATCAAAAAGTTGCGGAATGCTTTTCAGTCTGTTAATAAATTCTTTTGGTACAGGAACATAAGCTAAAAATACGAACTGAAAAATTGTGTTTTTTTTATAAAACTTACCCCCTGCATCATTCGGTTTCATTCCAATGGTTCCACCTGTATAAATCACCAAAACCTTTTTAAACGACATTTTAATTTGAATATTCTTTGTTTTATGCATATTACAACCTTAATTGCGTTTTTATCACGTGCATTTGTGTGTAAGGTAAATATTTATTTCTACTGATAATTTTGACAAATGAGTCATTAATTAAATGGACACAAAGATCACTCAAAACGAATTTTCATCCCACATGTGTGATTATTATTAATTGACTAGGAAATGATTTTGTCGAACTTTTAAGAATCCGTTTCTCGTGGTATTATAAATACAATCATGTGTCACTATGAAAATTACTATTAAAATACCATATTTAACTCTATGTTTTGTTGATTATAATGTTATACTGTTGCAGCTAGTCGTTATTTATTATGTATGCATCAGTTTGGATTAAAATCGTCTTGTAACCAGAAATTCAACTTTGTTTAAATTGCATTAGAATTATTGTAATAAAGCATGCAAAAAAGAGGTGTTTTAATTGCTGTGTGAAGTTTGTTAAATTAACATGTCTTGAATATATTAATATGCAGGAAGATTAACAAATTGGTAAAAAACGAAACGATTAAAGTTTGTAATTATACAATACTTCCTGCTTCTGGAAAACGATAGACAGACCACCAGAAACGTGACATCCTATGATTTTCAATTTAACTCATACTTTAATTATCTACTTAGAAGTTACTGAGGCACGCCTCGATACAGACGTCAAGAACATCAAACTGACGATAGATTAATCGTGTTTGCGCACCTAGAACACGTTGCTATTTTTTAGCAATGAAATAAAATGGCAAAAGGGCAGGATATGTATTGCGTGTCTCGTCCGAGGAAAATATTTATCTGACACAATTGTGATGAATGTTCCGAAACAGCAGGGAAGTTTATGGTTGAGTACTTGAACTAGCATTGTTGACTTGGTGTTTCCTGAATATTTCAAACGCTAATTATCTTGAGCAAATGAATATCTGTTATTAATAGTGAAAAGCTAAAGTATAAAAGCTTCTCGTTATATAACGTATCTTATTCACTCGTGGGGCAATTATCTCGTAAATTTTTCCAAACTAATTAAATTTAATCGCGAGTTTTTCATCGATGAAGAGTCGCGATGGCGGATGAATCCTTTAATAGCCGAACGTATCTCGGCCTAATCGCAAGGATAAAGAAGCCAAATAGAAGAAATGTTAGCGAGTGTAACAACGTATGTAATTATTGCGACTCGGCTGTAAGGATTAATGAGGCCTATCTATAATCACATGTTATTTTATACAAGATGGATAAATGCTGTTGTGGGAATTTTTAACGGTTGCTAATTGTGCGTGAATTTTCAAATGCTGGATTTTACTTTTGACTCAATTGGGATAATTACGGTTTTTTACTCTGGTAATTATGGTAATCAATGATTTCTCGTTTACTGCACGAAATTCGTTGAAAACTCACTCGGAATGACTTTCAACAAAAATGATTTGTCTCAATCAGTGGGCGGACCAGAAGGATCCTTCACGTCAAAGACAACATCATTATCCACCTTTCAACAATGAGTTAACGACCTTTAAATCATATCAACCAAAAAATTGGATATTTTCTCGAAAGTCACAACGTTTCAAAATGAAATTTTAAGTAGATAACGAGCTTTTTGTTGTGTATTCGTTCGAAAATCTACATGCATGGCTTAATAACTGACACAGGGTGGTCCACTAGAAAAACCCAGGGAAAAACTAAAAGGCTCACATCTAAAGAAATAGAGAAAATTTAGATCATGTGATTTAACTCTGTCATACAAAAATATGTTATGTTGTAGCAAGTTTAAGAGATGAGCTTTACGTGACTTGTGTAGGATCTCAAATAATTTGTTGTTCATTCTTGATAAATAATTTCGTAAAAGAATGGCTTGGAGATTGTCAGAAGATGACTGGCGTTCGTTTCTCGGTTCAAAGGATATCTCTGTTCGTAGAAAATTGATTGTCAGTGGGATCAATTAAAAAATTCTTTCATTTTGTCCCGTTTTTGTGTCGCCATGTTGGCAACAATAAAACCGCAACGACAATAAGAGATTCATTACGGCTCCCAGCGTCGAAAACAATGCTCCTTTATGTCGAGTCTCGTATACGCGTGAAGGGTTAGTTTTGAGTTTTACACAGTTGCTCGAATTATTTTCTTTGATTAAATTATTTTGTTAAACCGGTCGCAATTAAAATAAATTTAAATAACGGCGGCGTCGGCTATAAATGAAGTTCATGGTTGCTTCGTAGAGGAATCTGAGAGTGTAAAAGGCGAGTAAAACAGACCCACATGTTGAGTGCGAGATGAAATAGCGCTCTCGTCTCGTAAGTACGAGATGTTTGTTATCTTGCACTAAGTCTGCATTATATGCAAATGGGCTGTGTTAAAGTAATCAAATTCTTGTTTATGGACTACGATTATGACGACGTAACTAACATAAACGTCATTGTTCGGGCGATTGCTTCCAGCGCGCCAAAATTCAATTAAAGGATAAAGGATAAGGATCTAAGGAGATGAGCTGGGAGGTTTATGATGCTTGATGCAAACGAGTTTAATATTATTGAAATATTCAATTTATTTAAAAAAAATATTAGCAAAAATATCGTGATTCAATTAGTTTTTAGTTAGGAAATGTTCAAATTTTAATCATTTTGGAATTACTGAAATGGAGAGAAATTTGTCATAATCTTCTAGTTGAAAAAAAAATAGTTAGAAAATACTAAACTTAAAACGGGTCCATTTTTGAGATCTATACAGCGAGTGGAAAAGAAAAGATATCAAGAATTTTTATTTATTTATTTTTATTATTTATTGAAGTCAAAAAAGTAGACAATTATAAAGCTGATTTAATGGTTTTTCTTTTTTTTTTCACTATGAATTTTTTTTACAATTTTTACACTTTAGTAGGTATACTTTTTTTCTGTAAAAAAGAAAAATTTGAGTAGTGTTTTGCAAACACGTTTTATAGTTTTATTAATTTTTATTTTTTTTACTTTTAGACTCGTTTTCTTCTTTACCTAGTTAATTTTTATAATATGTTTTAAATTGTTTTAAAAGTTGTTTGAGAATACGAACCGATAAAGGATACTTGGGGAATAATCAACTTTCATTTATAGCATTTTGATGCTTTAGGTATTAATTAAATTTGTCACTATTTATCTGGTTTTAGTTTTTTTTTTGACGCCTTATCTCTATTGTTATTTGAGTAATAAAATCGCTTGTGTTTTAGTTTATACCATTAGTAGAAGAGCTATTAAATTTAAATTAAACTGTAAAACGTCAGTAGGTGTAAGTGTGTACTAAAACACTTAGTTTTATGACATTTCCATCTACACTATCTTTAGTTTCTTGGATCAGTAGTTATACAGGGTGTAACTTTGCTCTTAAAGTGCATCTATAATAGTTTGACCGACTTGTTTGATTTTATAATTTTTTTGAGTAAATCCTACTGTTTCATAATGCAACGACACGTCCTCCTCATACCAACTCACTTGAATAGCGCCCATTCCGACCTCTCCGACGATAGAATTCATTGTAATAAGAGTCGACTGTTGGAAACTTTCATCGAATACCAAAACCAGTAGCCGTAACGAACTGTTTAGTTTGCAAACTTGACTAATGACGAGGTTAAACCGTGCCAACAGGATCAATTTTTCTTTATGAGAAAACAAACTCCCCAACGAAACCTCATTTAATCACAATATTTTGATTCCTTTAGATGAATTTTTACCGTTTAATCAGATGCTAATTTATGATCGAGATGTTATCAATTTTGCTGTTGAATAATAGATCAAGACTTTGATGTAGGTGTAAAATATTGGGCAGAGTGTCAGGTCGATTAGACAAATTAAACAATTTGTAAAGGGATAATTTCTAATTTGTCTTGGGATGAAATATGGTTTAGGTCTTGCAGGAGAAAATCTTTGTTGTCTTGATGCAAGTAAGATTGAGCAGAAACAAGAAAGCAGACAGGTGAACTGTTCTAACCGGTTCCGTTGTGGATCGCCACATTGTCGGACTTTTCGTTACCTGATACAGAGGCTCCTGAATTAGATAAAACGCTCGCCACCAAATAAATTTAAAGTTAATCGAATTTTTGGTATTTTTTCAACAACTCAGATACCACCCATCACGAGGGGCACAAGCGCAATTTATCAGTCTGCATGCACATATCGTTAGACAAACCGCTAGTTAATAAAAATCGTTTTATTACGAGCAGATGGTCGCCAAATCTGAAAAAATTTGTCTTAATGCCTTTTCAGACTGGTCCAATAAATATGCTGATAATTGTTATTGGTTCGTGTCAGTCCCAATGGTTGAGTTATGAGAGACCTCCTTTGGCTGCAGTTTTTTACTTTTTGGCTGAATAAACCCGATCCAGTGATTTGGTTGTAAAGGGGTCGATTCGCCCCCGAAATCAAAGACCATTAGCCTAATGACAGAATCGTGTTTTAAAATTCAGACGTGTTTGTAACTCTGTCAATATTCGGTTGTAATTTTTCAGTTTATGGGAGCTTTGCAGGAATGCGATGTTTGGAATTGGTTTACGAGTGTTCCCGATCTCGTACTATAGTCCTCCGGAATGTCCCTTGAATAATAATAACGTCGATAATGTAGTAAGGGTGGCTGGAAGCGATGTCTGAACTTTGGATCAAACCAATTTTCATCATGCGGTTTTGTTCCGAGGAAAAGTCGAAGCTGGACTGTTTGATTAGGGCTCATTGATGTTCATTTTAGCGAAAAGAGAAAATTCTGCAGAGTTTGCACAGTTCGTGTTTGACGAAAAGTATTTAAAAGGGGAGATTTCAGCTAATCGGTTAATCGATAAATTGCTACATACATCAAACTGCAAATTTCCGTTTCCGGTGTATAAAAGAAAGAATTTTAAGTGAATATAAAATTTCAACAAGTCGGTCTGTGAATTGTTTTTTGCTATTTGTGGATGGAAATACATGTATTATGTTCTTGAACAGTTGTTTTATGTTATTTTTAAATACCTGCGCAATTTGATATTTCAGTAGAAATTCCTGCGCGCTGCAGGAACAGTTTATTACTGAGCAAAAGAATGCTTTTACAAGGCAATGTTAATTGATCATTTTAGCTGAATAAAAAA